TCCATCTTACAATATTGGACCAATATTGGGAATACTAGATTTACATTATTTCTCAATATTGCGCCAATATATTGTGCTACTCGGGTAATTTTCTAGTAATTATTTCGGTACCTTTTTGTAAGTGGCGACAAAGAGGCGTCATAAATCAATTTCGTGATGTGAAGAAGAGAGCAATGGATGCAGGAGACTATCGAGAAAAGTGTTCGAGAATAGGTTTGCTCACTCTGTAAGTGACGGATTTGAAAAAAAAGAGATGTACTTTTTTTTACATAAAACGTTAGGTGTACGAGATGCTCGTTTTACGGAGGGCGAGCGTTGTTCCGAGAAAAAATAAAATTGCTGCTTCGGAGGAGGGGGGAGGGCGATCTTCCGGCGGGGAAAGTATATTCCGGTTCCGTTTCGGGGAACGGGGCGCAACACCTAGTTGGGTGGTATTTTGATCGGACGCGGGAGGGCGATCAATTTTCATGGCGGTTAAGTGCCTCGCGCGCGTTTCCTAAAACACAGTGTCGAAGCACCGTTCATTTCCTGCCCGTAAAACGGGCCCCTCCGCAACTATATCTTGCGAGGCAGTTTCTCTATTTCCGATCGTTTGCGGTTTCGCCGCCGCGGGAACACGGTCGAGCCGTGTTAAAATCGAAACCGGCCTTTTTTTTTCCTTCTCTCGGACGGACGCCGCCAGACAGACGGCGATCAACGTCTGTTCGTTCCTAGGTCATCGACGACGGCGGAATCGCCAGGGAACGAGTAACGTTTCGCGCCATTGAAGGTCGCCTGCTTAAGAGAGAAAAGTGTACGCCATAAGTCGCGCAAAAAGCACGTAATATCAGACATAAGAGCGCAATAAGTGAACGTAATATTAATAGAAATGTAAAACATAATCTGACAAAGGGGTGGGTATATAATATTTCGCGAATGAATTAATATCTCTTCCCGATGCTCGCAAAACACGGTGAACGCTAACGTGTCCGCCTTAGCGTCTCACAGATAGATTTAATATCGCCAGTAGTTTAAAACCAGTGATATGTAATTTTTGAACGACCTACACTGGCCAGTGTTTTTATTTAAAAAAAAACGACGTATCGGACCCAGATTTCGACCCTTTTCAAGTAATCTGTTCACACAATTGTTAGTGATCTTACTTTAACACAATATAATTACTTCGTCATTTGCTTTGTTTTGCATTCGACATTTTGTTGGTCCAGCCAATAAGAGGAAAGTATGCGTGCGAGTGTAGTTTGAGAAATACACACACATACGCTGCTGGATTTGGACCAAAGACATGGCGGAACACCATGTGCTCGAGACCGCAAAGATCAAAGGGGCCGACCAAGAGTAGATCTACTAGTTATACTATTATATATTAATAGAGAGTTAAGCCAGCGGCACACGATACTATTTTTCCTACTGAATTGCTTACGAGAACCAATCAGGATTTAGCCTTAAGTCATCTGACCTAAAACTCTGCATCCTTTGGTTCTCGTAAACAATCCAGTAGGAAAAATAGTATCGTGTGCCGTTGTCTGTGGATCAGGGGGTCAATTCTGTTACCTTACACTATGTGAAAATGCTAAAAGTGAGTAGCTCTATCTCTTTCTGTCTCCTTTGAAAGAGATAAAGCTCATTTTTAGCATTTTCACTGTCGTAAGACACAGAATTGATGATCCTGATTGGCTCTCGTAGTCCGGTAAGAAAACTAGTATCGTGCGCCGTTGGCTTTATTTCTCGACGCTCGAGCATAATTTGATAAGCGGGTGAACACGTACAATATCTCGCGAATGAATTAATATCTCTTTCCGATGCTCGCAAAAGACCGCGCGGTAAACGTTAACGTGTCTCCTCGTGAGGCGGACAGTTCGGTGGGAGACACGAGCGAAAGTAATAAAAGCACCGAGCGAGCGTGACGTGCCCGAGACGGAAATTGTACTTGTCAAACGCTTTTCCGCCGTTCCACGCTTTTTCGTTTTCAACTACGTGGCGCTGGAATTGCGCGCTCCCTTGTCGCGCGACAAACGACAGGCGACAGACGACAGCTTGAAAAAGGCGACAGCCGCTCCTGATCCGGTAGCGAGGCGCCCATTTAGGATGATTGCCCGATTTTATGTATTTATACCAGGGAGCCCCCGTCGGTCCCCGCTTTTCACCGCGCCGACGTTTCTGTTTCTCTATCGCTAATAGGAATTCGTTTCGCTCGCTGCTCGTACCCGCGCGAAATTTCGCAGACGAGCGTAATTCCGCAAATGAGATTAATCCTCGAAACCGTTCGGGGGGGGGGGGGGACAGTGCGGCTGTAATCTTCGACGTAGTTCTGTAAACTTGCAGGTTCTGTAAAATTAATCGTCGCACGTTCGAAACGCCATGCCGCCGCGATCTCTTCTTCTTCTTCCTCCTCTCCTTCCTCCTCGTCTCGCGTCGCGACGCTGTTTTAATTTTAAATAATCACGCTCGACTTCCAATTCCACGTGGGAAATATTACTTCTTATATGCGGAGTCATGTTGAGACTTGCTAGGGACACGGGGATGGCTCGTACATCATTCACGTTACGGCTCATATATTCAACGAGGCTCCATCAGGCCCTACATTATTCCTCGACAGGTTGTATTTCGCGATCGTCACTATTTATTTTACGAGACCGAGCAAGTTGCCGGCCGTCAAAGCCTTTATCGCCGCGGTATATAAGGGCGTATAATTTTGCGACGTGTATTTATACCGCGACGATCATCTCGCGAGACATTTTATTAAAATAGAGGCGGACGGATGAATGTTTTATGTCATCGCGCTTTTTATAAGTTGGTGTTTCGGACATTTCTCGAAAACTCTCTCCCTCTCCCTCCCTCTCTCTCTCTCTCTCCCTATCCAACGAAATCTTTTCGCGCCTGAAATTTGGCGCCTCGCCCAAGTTTCACGGCGGAAAGTCCGACTATCGCGACATTTGGGATCATCGTGGTTTCGCATGGTCTCGAGATTCGACGCGAGATGTTCGCGGAGGGTGTGTGCGGTGGTCGGCCACTCCCGTGGGTATTAAGACAGGAAAATGGCCGAAGCCGGTCGTGGCACGTGCTGGGTGTGTGCCACCCCGCGATGACTCGCGCGTACGCACGGCGGAGACACCGGGTATACGCCGAGGGACGGGCGCGACGGTATCGTCAGAACGTTTTAATATTTAATGCGATTAAACTCATCTCGTCCCGCCTCCCGTAATTGGTTTCTGATTAACAGCCAAGTTTTAAGCGCATTAGCCGTGTGCAGTAGCTATACGCCCTGACGTCGTCGGCCAATAATCTTGAGTGCCGCCAGGCGTCCCCGAAAATCGACGCCGATCTTTGATCTCTGAATTGAAACGCCGCCGAGCACCGCCGACGGTGACGGCGCCCGTGCCTCCCGGAGCGACGGGCGGCCCCGTGTTTCCCGCGTATTTCCCCGCGCCGAGCGTCGAGATGTTAACGCGCGAAATCCGAATGAAACTCGGGCTCCGGCCGAGTCGTATATAGATTCGATCAAAAATTAATCTGTTATTTCGCTCAAACGATCCTTATCGCCCGGCGCCCGATACCACGGGCCACGGGAGCGCCGTATTGCAGCGGGAAGATAAGTTGTCCGTAGGGATAATCCACGGACTCAGCGGGTGTCTCCATTCGACATGGTTTCACTCCATCTTCCGTTGACAGACGAAATCTCCCCCTCCCCCTCCCCACGTCGAATACCCACCAGCGATCTGTTCCGCCGTCCGACTGTCCAATTAAGAGAGCGAAACTTAATTAATCGTCAGGAGCCGAGGCAGACCCGGAAGAAACGCGGCGATAATCGTACGAATGTGGAGGTGGGTCCCCTATTATGAGACAGGACCCTAATATGGGACAGCGGACTTACCGTTCAAATAGTCGGCATCATCGGTTCATTCAACCGTGAATTTATTGCTCTAGGAATTAAATTTCTTTAGTGGGAAAATTCAAGGGGGTAACCACTTGATGCAATCGTGGGTCAGTGCCACCGAAATCATTATTAAATGATCCTCACGAAGTCTCCGTGTAATCGTTTCGTCTTAATTTTCAAGTTTCTTCACTTGTTGGACAATAAACATTAAATTTGAATATTTTCTCAGCTTGTTTCCATTTTCCAACAAAATTTACTTCTTTTAGCGAATATCCACTAACGCCCAGCGGGCATTACTTTATCTTATTATCTTATTTTATCTTATTATATCTTATTATATCTCTGTTATGCCCCAGCAAGGCCTAATGCCCAAATTAATTCCCAAAAAATGCCTAGTAATGCCCAGTAATGCCGCAAATCTGTATACCACAATGCCCTGAGCGGTTTCCTCCTCGGCGCGTGTTCTATTCATATCGTAAGATTGTGTAGTCGCTGTTAGAACGACAGCGAGTTGGAACATTGATACACTTTTGCGCGCAAATTTGGAACAATAAACGGTAAATACAAATACAAAATTACTTTTCGTTGAGACCACGATTAGACCAGTGGGAAAAGTGAGAAGCGAGAAAACACGTAACCGAATACTACAATCTCAATTGAAATTACAAGTAAATACTTCTTGGTAAAATAAGAAAAACATACTTTGAGGAAATAGAATAAGAAAAACAGCTCTTTGAGATTTAACAACGTTACAAATTTTAAACGTGCATATAAGAAAATTATTTGCAATTAGATGAGATTGTTTGTAATCAGGTGGAATCGTGTAATCGGTGGGACAACATTTTAACTAGTGGTTACCCCCTTGGGAAAATTCATTGTTAGATCGTGTAGTCGTTGCGAAAAAGGATTTGTGATGGAATTTGGGTGTTGAAAACCTGCTGTCTCATGTTAGAAATCTGTCTCATAATAGAGGACTTTCCTCTAATTCCAACAGTTTCAATATCACGACTTATTGATTACACTTCATCAGGAAGAGGGGGAGGAGGACCGTTCCCGAAGATGTGAGGATACGATGTTACCGCGTGAATAGGAATGTGACGGTGATGCATTGTCATTAGGGCAAAGATTTGTGTGCGTCAATAATTTATTCCGGTTCGATTAAAGCTACAAAAGCACCTCTGAAATTATGCGTTGAATACTTCTTTGAAGCAATCGTGATTATTATGTGACAACCATCGCGCCGAGTGGCCGCTTCAGTAATTGTCATCGTTCTGTCCCTTCTCCTGCCGCAGCTGAGAGGCATAATTATCCGCGTGAACGAGCTTCCTCAGTTTGTCCACGTAATCGCAATGGATCAGCAACGGCTGCGAAAAGATATCGACGGATTAATCTAAATCTGAGTGTTAGAACCTCGGTATACGTTGCAACGCTGTTTGCGAAAGCGTTTAGCTTTGTTTAAATAACAGTTGCTTGTCTCGTCCGTAACTTTTATCAGAATCGATCGTATCTCGACGAATGTATCACTGCGTACAGTACCAGCCAAAATTATGTCACCTTTCCCTTTAGTAGCGCAATATATTCACGCAATGTTGGGAAGTAATGTAAATCCAGGGTTGGGAAGTAACTCGTTACTTTTAACGAAGTTACAGTTACAGTCACTTTTTTTGGTAACTCTAACTTAACTCCGTTACTTTCTCTCCGGCTGTAACTGCAACTTAACTCAGTTACATTTTTTCGATAACTAGTTACTAATTGATTAGTTACAATAATAGTTACTTTATATATTTTTTTAACCTTCGCAGATCGCATTAGGCCTTGCATAAACGCCTTTATCGACGCTTGGCAATTCCAATGCAGAGTTGATATTTTCATTTTTATTGCAAGAAAGTAACTGCAAAGTAACGATTCGTTACTTTTTGAGTAACGTGTCACTGTAACTAGTTACATTTTTAGCGAAAAAAAAAACTGTAACTAGATACTTTCATAAGGTAACTTTTCCAACCCCGTGTAAATCCAGTATTCCCAATATTGGTCCAATATTGTAAGATGGACGCCTTCTCTTACTCAGCCAATATGTCTATTTAGCAACATTGGTCTAATATTGTATCACTATGGATGCTTTCAAAAGTTTACAGTAGATACCTAATAACGGCCCAAATAGCAATGCATATCTGAAAGACGTGATAGACACATTTAAAATACTTCCCAGACGACAAGTAACGTGCTGGATACCTGGGTTTTTACACGTACATATTTAAACGATAATGTTGCAGTCTTAAAGATATCTTAAAGGGGCCTTTAAGTCATGCATGCTACGTCAGAGGTGCATCTTGTACACTAAACGGAAAAAATTTTCTCTTAAAACTTATTCTGAAAATCATATAATCGTTTGACAACCTGACACTTTACCATACATTTTACCAGTAATTAGACTTAGTACGCATTTTACTAGTACAATTTCAAAAAACTCTCATAAAGTTCTCAAATTTTAAGACAAAACGTTCCCGCATGAATTTGTGCACATATATCAACACATTTGTACATTTTCCATGTACACGTACATGGAAAATGTATATGTGTTCTACCTGTGCCTAAGTTCATATGAGAAGGCATCCGGTGATTCCTAGTGAAGGGTAATGAAATTTGACCAAATACACCACGATTTTCGAACCTTTCATTCGTGCACTTTACGGCATTCATAGTCAGACCTGATATTCAAGACCGTCTTGAATTTATCCAAAGATGCTGTATGGAACATTTCATTGGCTACGGAGTATCTAAAGTTGATCTTAAGACCGCCTTGAATACAAGATCTGACTGTGGCAGGTATCCATAGTCCGTTCGTATATTTAAGATTATCTTAAGTGTACTCTCAGTGTGTTTTTAACTAATCACAGAGCCGTATCAGCCTCTTAAGACAACACTTAAGATGATCTTGAAAGAAGAATCGACTATGAATACCGGCCAGTGACAATTCACGCACAATAGATCGAAAGGCGATTTAATCTTGGCCGGTACTGTATATCACACCTCCGTCGTTCCGGGGCTTACCTGTTCATCGACATTCCCGTATACCAGCATCTTGAGTCTCTTGAGCTCGCCGATGGGGAGACGCTCGTCCCCCGGATTGGCGGCGCCCAATGAACGCGGGAACTCGGACCTCTTGCCGTTGGTCCAGCCGCGGCTGTACTGGAAGGTTTGGCATAGAACGGCGCTTATGATCAACGACAGGACGAAGAGGACGAATGCGCATTTCTTGGCCATCTGCGAAAGGCAAATACGGTGCGTGGAGAAAACGTTTTATCCGCGCGAGTATCACGGAAGCGAAAGGAAACGAAATGAGAGACGTAAGGAGGACAATCGATATATATATATATATATATATATATATATATATATCGTGCAGTTCCTCCTCGAACGCTCGCCGTATTAACCCACTAAATAATTGCGCAAGGACGAACGACTCGGCACTTATTGGCAGCTTTCAAAAAACGACTAATGATTTTCAAACGTTAATTAGCGCGGAGCAATCGCCGATAACTCGCCATCAGCGACGCCTGAATAATTCGACGGGTATTATTAAAACAGTCTTTCACTTTTACCGAGCGGATTTGCATTCCGCCCGATTTCCGGAGCTCCAAACCCCAAGAGGATTACGTATATATAGGCTATCTATTATTATCAAAGCGCGCAAGAGAGGCGAGCAACTTGTCACTGGAATAATTACAATTCTTCTAACATGTCGGCAGCTTAGCGGTGATCTTTTTGCCGTCGCAGATCTGAGATCTCATGCAATTGTAATGAAATCATTTCGACTCGTTGCTAAGAGAGGAAGAGGAAATCTCGCCTTTACAACGTGGTGCACCAGCGCGGAGGGAAAAACAATGGACTGTCACGGTAGACTTGACGAGGCAACGATCCGAAGCCGCGCAACTTAAAATTGCGCCAAGTTTACGCTTCCACCCGTTGCCCGTTTCTTTATGGGGACGTCATTTTTTGAAATGATAAACCACTGGAATGCCAATCGCCGGTAATAACGATGACGCAAACGGTCGCGACGGACGACGCAACGCGGCGAAATGAACATTTCGAGCGCTTTATCGGCGATCGTATCCTTTCTTTGCACTTTCAGGAACACTTGGTAAATAAAATAAATTATCCAATAAGCCACCCCGAAGAATGTCCCCTCGTTTACAATTAACGGACACGTAAAGGGTTTAGGTATCGGGGCCCGGCCGTTACGATAATTGCAAAACTCTTGCAGGCCGCGTGTTTACATCGATCTCTTTAAACTTTCATATTCATTAGAAAAAGGATTACGACTAACGACTCGTGTAGTTACCGGGCGAACCAGCATTTCTCGAAAATTTTTAGCGCGCGCTCGACTTTTGTTCCGCGCGCTAATTTTAAGAGGACCATTAACGCTACGAGCGTCCCTGGTCATTAAGATAAGCGTAAGTGCTACTAAGTGTCCGAGCGGATAAGAGACGTGACCAGCATCACCGTTAGCGTAGAGCGTCCCAGACGCTGCGGCCGCTCTGCGCCAGCGAGACACGCGGCTGCAATAATATTAACGCGTTCGCCAATAATATCAACCGATGTTTCATTTGTCGCGAAATAAGACGTGTGCACGAGCGATTTCGACAAAAAAACAATGGCGCGATTATCGACTAATTGTTTTCCGCGCGTAATACCGAACGTCTACGTTAACATTTCTCTCTGCTACGCAGAAAAAAAATCATTTCCGCCGCCGGGGCTAATTGCGGTTTGCTGAAAATATTTTGCTGCCATTACTGGAAATCTCTAAATCGCGGCAAACGGTATTGCTGTCGCACCTAACACAACAGGCGCGGTAGGAAAATATTTAGCTGTCGCAACTATCAGCCTGTCCATATGTTACAAATGAAACTTCGTTGCCACGTGCAGTTCTTAGCTGCGGCAGCTACGTCTTTCTTTCCGCAGGTATCGGTAAACAAGACTCGTGAACAAAGGTTTCGATGACACACTCCCAAAAAGCACGAGTCTCGGGTTTATTATCGCTTCGTGACGTCGTCGTTCCTGCAGCCTGTTATGCAGAACACGGCGATCGGCTGACTGATAGGCATTGGGAATTAATTAAACAGAATCGCCGATTACGGGATAATTGTTCTTTAACGTTTGTGAGGTTTTCAGCGAATGCGCGTTAAGGCAGGCGCGTTTCGCGGAACGGAATTAGAAAATGTCAGGAGAGCAATTTATTTCGCCGTGCACGTTGCGCCGAAGGTACGATATATCGTGGATTTTCCATTTCACGCTGACGGGCAATTTGTCGTACGTTTCGTAATCCATTAGCTCCGTAACCGGGTTGTTCCGTTTCCACGCATTCCCATAAGTCCGTACATGCCCATTATGTATCATTTTCTCTATCGATACCTCGGTATCTCCATATATTCGTATCATTCGATCTTCCCACGATACGCGGATCTGTAATCTACGACGAGCGGCGATTGAATTCTTTTCGTTAAACGTCACCCGCGAAACTGACTTTGTCTAGAAAGTAACGTGACAACGTGAACAAGCTATTTTGTTCTCTTCGCATTTCGTTCAACTTCTCTCCCTGTGATTTCGACTTTTATTCGACCACAGCTGGCCACATTTGTTAGTTTCTCTGTCAACGCAGAAAATTTATTGCGAAATAATATCACCTCAGCCAGGGTTTGAGCCTGGGGCCTCCCCACACTCTAGGCGGGCGTCTCACCAATTCGACCACCGAGGCGTACGATATTTGTCGCGATAACAGTATAAAGAATCTCTCCGTGTGTTTCGTCGACAAAAGGATGTGCTTGGCAAAGGAACTTGTTTAAATGCAATATTTGTAAAAATTAGACGAGAGGTGTCTTCTCTTTCCACGAAATTATTCTGTCAAGTGAGGTTTATGCCAGTAAAGCGCCGACTTGTGGGATTAGATGTTCAACTAGATATATCGAAATCTCTCATTCTGGCGAACTGAAGTTATGTGTAACTGAAAATAAGCGAAAAATTTGCCTCAGCAGTGGAATGGATTTTTTATGAACACCTTTGTATACAGCGAATTCGATTGCTCGCACCAGTGCGCACTGAGTGCACGCTAAGTTTGCTGATAGCCAATTCTTATATTTAAGGCTCGTCGTAAATATCTCTTGAAATATTTCTTAGCCAGCAAAATGACCTGTATAGCTTATATACGGATCATTTTTTGGCTAAATACTCTTTGAACATGCATTTAAGACAAAGTCAAATGCAACAATATTGAAACAAGCCTTAGTGTGCACTCAGTGCAAGCAACTGAATTCGCAGATAGTTTCTTCGTAGGAAAAATTAAAAATCAAAATGGTCGAAGGCAAACTCTCCAGCTGTATAATTCGTCGTCTCCAATCTAATTTTCACTCCATATATTAACAATAGCAAATAAACAGTTCCACAGAACAGGTGTCACTTGATAAGCTAAAAGCCGATTAGGTTGGTCGGAATTGGTCAAAGTCGCTCCATATTGATGGGAATCGCAATTGATGCAAATACAGACGTCTGTACACTATTGGCGCTCACCAGGATTATTTTGTATGCGACAGAAAGAGACAGAAGCGACACCGAGGCACCATCGAGTGTCTCCAATGTGGACGTGTGTGCGCACTGCCGAGAGTGTATTACGCGATTGTCCCCCATGTGCTTTGTACGAGTGTGAGGAGAGCATTCGATGGTGTCCTCCATTCTCAGAAGCGAAAATGGAGGCAAGGTGAGCAGTCCGCTAGTATACAGAATTCTATGGGGACGTAAATCGTAAAGGCCGCGCCATCTATTGAAGCGGCACCAGATTTCCCGTGTCTTCGTCTTACAATTTTACACGTCTTATTCGACAGCTCTCGTTGCCGTTACACTGAGCGTCGATAAAAATGCAGATTTCAATTAACGCGACGCGGAACACGGTACCTATCGCGGATAAAGCAGAAATTTCTCGCGTAAAATCAACAGCATTCGCGGCGAGTATAAAATCTATGAAAGAAAGAAAGAAAAAACGTGATCGAGGAAGAATTTCGGGAATCCTTAAAATTTGATTTTAAATAATTGCTAATTTAATTAATTGAAAACTAATCTGTTTAGAAATTATTTAATAGCATGGTAAAAGCAAGATGTAATGCAATACCTTAATGGATTTCGTTTGTTGCTGCTGGGGCGACACGTTCTCGTGGAAGATCTCGCTGAAAGTGTGCCTCTCTGATCGAGGAGGAGCTTTATATATACGCTCCAGTAAATTATGTCTTGTACGTCGGGAGCCGAAAGATTAGATTAGCGCCTAGACGGGGCGGCATACAAGACCAGTCATTATTGGTAATTAATATTAGTTGACATTGTGCGAAAATTGGCCTAACTTTACGCTTTCATCGGGCATATGAATACTTAAAACGCGGTGTGTCAACTGAAAATACGCAATTACCGTTTCGTATGATTTAATTACGGACGTAACGACATGCGTAGAAACGGAAATAATTTGCCCGACACAACTGGGTATGAAGTATTCTCTATTACAAATTACGACGTCTCGACCATGGATCTTGGTCCTTTTGTAATAAACAATATTTTATAGCCAGTTACGTCGAGCAAACAATTATTTCCGTTATCTACTCATTGGCGAAGGAAAGATTTGCTCTGAAGAAAAGTTATATATTTTGTAGATTTACGTAATACTAAAGTTACGAAGAACACGTCGAAATTCCAGCTTTGTAAAACATATTATCAATGAATAAAAGGGCTAAGAGCCTTGACTAGGTGTTAGTGTCACAAAAGTAAATGTTTAGTTTATTTAAAACATAAAAATTACAAACGTTTCGGTCTTTCTTTAGTTAGACCATCCTCGGTGTAGAAAAAGAAAAGAAAAGGAGTAAAAGAAAATAATTTAAATATAAAAGTCAAAGGTTAAAATTTGCTCGCGACGCAATACATAAGAGAGATGTAAAATGTAAAATGTAAGCCGTGTTCGGATTTCTAAAAACAAAAGAGGGAGTAGTGAGATGAAAGAACAATTAGATAAAGAAACATATTATATTCATTAATTTAGGTAATCACATTGGTCTGTTTATTTCACACAGCTGGATAAAATGCAAATAATTTATTATTGGTAGCTAAGGGTAAAGGTTGCAAAATTACTTTAATCTTTTATACATATATTCCTTTCTTATCAGGAACAAAGTATTTATTTAAATTCCTCTATTTTTATCTCCTATCTTTTTCTCGTTTGATTCAACGATTCTCATACATTTTGATTTATATTGTTCCTAAAATAAACTCTTATTTAATTTTAATTATATCATAACAGGTGAAAAAAGAAAATTTGTTGTACCACTGTGACTGCTGTAGTTTCTATTGTTTGTAACTTTTAAATTAATTTGTTAGGTCATAGCGGTTTGACTTATCGACGCTGAGTCGATAAAGATTAATATGGGCGTAAATTGATTCTATCTTTGTTCCATTTTTCTTTCTTCTTATCCTAATTTTCGTTAAATATTTTCATTATTTAATATTCAATAATTAAAAATACACATGCTGATCATTGAGCTATGTGGAAAAATTAAACTAAACTAAAAAATATGTTTTATTTTCTTTACTTTCAATTTCAAACACAAAATGTTGCGTTGTAAGTTTGAATATGTTACATCTTTATACCAAATCTTTACATCTGTCTGTGAATATACAATTTATAATTAACAATTTTGTGCAAATAGAGATATACTGTACGTAGCACATTCGCCGTTCGAGCTAAATTATTTTTCTCTAAAGGGGCTCAATTAGTATAAAGCGGGGTTGGGAAATCGTCACTTTGCAGTTACTTTCTTGCAATGAAAATAAAAATATCAAATTCGCATTTAAATTGTAAAGCGCCGACAAAGGCGTTTACGCATTAATGCAATGCGAGGCTAAATTTTTTGTAAAGTAACTATTAGTGCAACTATTGAATTAGTTACTAGTTATCGAAAAAATGTACTTAGCTGAATTAAGTTACGGTTTACAGGTGGAGAGAAAGTAACGACGTTAAGTTAAAGTTACCATAAAAGAAGTAACCGTAACTGCAACTTTGTTACAAATAACGAGTCACTTCCCAACCCTGGTATAAAGACCATCGCTTTGACGTATCGAAAAATAGAATTCGTGCGCGAAGTCTCGTAAAGAGGGAAGGCAGTTTGTATCTGCCGCCCGCTCGCGTAGTTCGAAGGCCGAACCGTTGCGCGACCACGGCGATTCATCGCTCGTGATTGTTGCGTCAAACGCAGGCGCGGTAGACAGCTATGTCTTTTTGCGAACCGTGTCTCACGCTTGTCACCTTAGTTTTACGAACGCGCGTTTCGGTGGACACGCGTTTTCGCGAGTGAGCGACACAGGCAGGTCATTGCGAGGTCGTCGCCGTCGTCGCCGCTGCCGCCGTCGCCGTCGCCGTCGCCGTCGCCGTCGTCGTCGCCGCCGTCGCCGTCGTCGTCGCCGTCGCCGTCGCCGCCGTCGCCGCCGTCGTCGTTGACGTCGACGTCGCCGTCGTCGCCGTCGTCGCCGTCGACGTCGTCGTCGCCGTCGTCGTGGACGCTATCGTTGCCATCGTTGCTGTCGCTGTCGCCACTGTAACTGTCGCAGTCGCTGACGTCGTTATCATCATTATCATTATCACCATCATCGTCATCGATGCTCGTATACAAGCGCCGCATCGCATCGTCGTCGCCGCCGCCGTCGCCGTCGCCGTCGTCGACGACGACAGTGTCATCGTCAATATCGTCAGTGTCGTCAGTGTCACCGTCAGTGCCGTCGCCGTCGTCATTCGTCGCTCGGCGTTGCTTGGACTCGTCGGCCAAGTCCCCGGGCTAAGGCTCGCCCCGGAGGAGACATGCCAGTGTCAACGTCGGCATCGGCATCGATATCGACGTCGGCATCAATATCGCATGTGCCCCGGTCGCCTCGGCGGGCGCAGTGACGATTTCCGTCAGCGTACTCTGATGACGTCAGCCGCGGTGCGATATGATGGAGTCCATCAGAAAATGGTTTTACAGGCCTAAGGTGAATACGGTCATGTGCCGCGCTCCGATTGCACCGATTTGCTCCGAACTCGGTCCCTCTCGTTTCATTTCCTCGCCGTCCGTCCTCGCGCTGAGTGCGTTATCGCTCTCTTTCTCTCTCTTTCTCTTTCTTCTCTCCCCCCCCCCCCTATTTCCCTGTGTGTTTCTATGCCTTTTCCTCTCTCTCTTTCTCTCTCTCTCTCTCTCTCTCT